ATGGCGAACGTTAGGCAAAAGCCACAATCGCAGGTACAGATACATACAGCATTTGAAATATAGATTTACCCAACGGCTGGAACTAAAAGTGAAGCCACCAAAGCGCATTTTAATGTATCCATACATGAATGAGACCTCAATGTACGTAAGAGCTATTTAAAGTGTGGAGTAGCCTGGGCAAAATTTCCGCTAAGACTAATTAAATGTTCATCCATTAAAATAATGTTAATGTATATGTAAGAATAGTTGTGTATATGACATCGCACTCACAACTACATGGAAATGTACCTTCAAAATATGCGCGGAGTTTAAATTAACTAATTAATTGAGTAAGACATACGAAATCGAAATATGTTTTGAAAACGTATATATAAAATACGCCCAGAGTGAAAAATTAAAATATTTCTCATTGCACTTTCAGTTAAGTTGAATTCAATTCCAATGCTTGCTGCTCCACAAATCCTGTGCTTAATTTATTGGCACACGTGAAGCCACGCGCCACTAAAAACAACAAGTTGAACAAATAACAATAAACACAGCAGCAGCAACAACAACAGCAACTACCATCTTACAACACCTAAACGTTCCATTAAATTTACGTTTTACAATTTAAAAACACAAATTGCCTGCTACATAAAACCAAACAGTTGCATGCGTGCAAAGGGCTAAGCTGTGGCAGCAACGGTGCGGGGGCACACGGAGGTGTGGCAGCAACAACTATATTGGAGAAAACTTGGTAAAGTTTAGTATTCGAAAATGATTTGTGCCCCAAAATCGGAGAGGAACGGCGGGGGCATCCAAATTGAGATTGGAGCTGGGTGCCCGGGCTCCGATGAGTGCGACATGCCGTAAAACTTGGTTGCCAAACAAAACAACTAACAACAACAGCAACGCCACATCGATAACATGCACAACAACTGCAACAACAAATTAAACAAATCGAAAGTTTTTGGTGTGTCGAAGTCAGCGAACACCTGCGCGAAAGTGAGACAGACTAATAGGGAGGGAAAGGGGAAGTGAAACACGGCAATTAATCCACAGGCAACAGAGGGACAAATGCACAGAGCCGATTTAGTTAGGCTGCAAACTGATAGAGCCTAACCAAAGACAATCTAAACACAGTCTTTATATTATCTTTGGCCTAACTAGTTCCAATTCACATTATTTTAACTATATGCTATATTAAAAAAAAAATAGATTGGATCAAGATAAATCACTCGAGGGAGACCCAGCCATATAAATAACTTTACTGCCAAGCATTTTATATATTAGAGATATTAGATATTAGAGATAAAATTTAGCCCGCATATTGTATATGAAAATATTGGATTTACGGCTGGCAATATTTTTAGTTCAACGGTAAGCTATAAATTAAAATTTAAAGATTTTAATCAAAGCCTTCACTCGATGATATTAGAAATTAACTTCACGAAGCGAGCCACACCTAGCGGCTGCTGAAGATCTCTGGTCTTTAAAAGACGGAGATCGCGTGCGAGTCTTGTAATTACTAAAGCCATTTCACAATGTCGATCGTATATTTTTGGCTACACAAATTAGCACGGGAATCAATAATAAACACTTAGCCTGTCACAACAAAAGCAGCTTGAAAGCCGCCAGGAGTATGATTTTCCTCTGGGCAATAGGGCAAATAGGTTGAGTAAGTATCATAGCAGACGACCTGTATTAGTATAGCAAAGCTTTTAGGCAAGCAGCTTCTTGGGTTTTGGGTTACTTTTTTTTTGGCATTTAAGAAGCCCTTTGGTTATATGCAGAGCTCCTAAATAAAGTATGGCTTCTCAGATATACAAAGACAGCACAAAGCAACCGTTGAGCTCGATGCCCCAATTTGACCAAGTCAACATATAAGCAAATCCAGAACCAAAAACTAGTTGAAATAAATGCAGACTTGATATACATGTACATTTGTGTAATATGTGTGTGCGTGTTTATATTTGGATACTGTCTGCATTTGTGTGACCCGCATTAATCACGTAAACGCACACCTACATCCAGGCCCATAACCATATCCGAATTCGTATCTGAACCCGAACCTCAACTCGAACTGTAACCCAAATTCGTTAGGTGAAAGCTTCGTCGGCCCAAGGAGCTCAGATGTCGCACCATTACGTCCAACAACAAATCGCAACAAAATCGCAACGAATCGAATTTAAAAGCGAATTACAATCAAATGTATTTAAGCACTAAGCCGACCAAAAATTTAACCTGCACCTCTACCAGCTGCCAAAACACCCGCAACCACCAACACCAACACACACAGACGCACACAACTCTCAATCAGATACATACGAGCAAAAGCCGGGAGAGAGCCACCCAATTGACTTTGGTTAAACCGAAATAAAAACAAGAAAAAATGGCTATCGTTTGTATGTCGAACACAAAATACCCTGGCGCTTATGATATTGCAATCCGATGTTGATCAAATTTGGAAGCTATGTGGGAAGAAATTCAAAATGACAAGTTTGGTCATGATATCTAGAAAAATAATAATGTCTATATAGTCTTTATGTACCTTATATTTTACTTATAATTTAACTGGCTATAGCTTTTATTATAAAGAGGCGCGATCCGATCGCCTCTTACACGAAGAGCAAAGCTTCTATGACTAAAACTTTAAAACTTTATAACTTTATACTGACAGACGGGCTGTTATATCGACTCGCCTATTACTATTGGTCAACAATAAATACAATTTTACATTATCACATGGCTTAGAACATTATTATCACATGGATTAGAGCATTCTCTTTCTATGCGTTAAACATTTCATGGCAAAATTATAATGCCCTCTACAAGGGTATAAAAACATGCAGCAGACACTTTTTGTGTGTGTGTTTCTGCTTGTGTGTGTGCTTGTGCCAATTGTTGACTGACTCGATTGAACTTTATATGTGTGTATTGTGTTGTTTTTTATTCGCTTTTTTTCTTGGCCTACATTTTATGGATGCGTGTGTGTGGGAGCGTGTGTGTGTGTGGTAGGGTGGTGTTTTTATATAGTTCTGCTAGCTTCAATCCGTTGTCGTTGACGCCGACGGAAGCCATAAAACAGCTCCCCCTCCATCCTTTACCCGTTCGCACACACACACACACACTCGCACCCACACACACATACACTAACACAAAGAACGAATAGGCTGTTACGAGAAATTTCCACAAAAAAACGCAGCCACAAAGCCGACATTGCATTCGCCCAAATGGCAAGCGAGAAGCAAGAGAATTTCACACAGTCCGCCCACATGGAATCGCTGAAATTACCTCTCAGATGGACTTAAATAAGTTTTCGGGCATTTGACGGGATTGCCAGCAGTAACCTCGTTGCCGCAATCGACACCATCATCAGCATCGGAAATATGAGTCGAATAAGCCATCAAATTTGCTGGCAAGCACACAAAAATAATGCTCATTAAGATTGAGTTTGAGTTTCTCCGTTTGTAAGTTCTTTTCCAAGTCTTATCTCACTTACCGACCTTAAACTGTGCTAGTCAACCAACTATAATGCACGCAAGCTTATAAAAAGCTTATCAAATAGTCCAAATAAAATATAAATATTTCGGCTCTAGAGACGTATTTAAGCAGGTATTGTATTATCATCAAGATTTCAAGCCCCCTTCTGATAAAATACAAATTCATAGGCACTGCCGTGAACCTACATTTCAACTCATTCCAATGGATTTCCCTTAACGGGTGAATCACGTTTCAAATGTCTTTTTACATCGATAATTGGTAATGAGTCTTAAGCATGCATCTTGCATTGAACTATATGTAACTTTAACAATAAATATTAACTCAGTCGATTGCCATTTAACTATTCGACCATATTCCGCACGAAGATCGTGGAGCGCTTTAAATGTATATTTTTAAAAATAAGTCAGTACGCACAGTTTTATTCTTGCTTTGAGATATAATATATAAAAATTATCCATTCTTTTAAATAATTGATATAGTTGCCACAAATACTGGTATTAATTTAAATACTGATTATAAAATATGTAAATATTTTTTATAATTAATACACCATGCACGAATGCGTTAAATGAGCACGGCTAGAAGAACACGTTTGCAAAAGGGTTTCCAATATCATATTTTTTTTTGCAGGCATGTAGGCATGATATGTGTGTGTGTGTATGTCGGGAATATAAATATATATATATATATATATGTATTGGCTGGCACTACGAAGCCGGAAGCTCGGACTACAGACACCCAAGCACACATACAAGCACACACACAAATAGTCACCGACATGAACATGGACATGGAAACCAATAAATATTGTTTATCCACTCGAATGATTTTTAACTGAAAATCGTTGAACCCTTGGCGCAGCCCAAAAGTGTGCTACAAACACCACCGAAGCGCACTTTTAATGTGTACGTGTGTGCGTGTGTGCGTTTGTGTGTGTGTTTGTGTTGGTTTGTGTCTGTGCAAGTGTGAGTGAGCGTAGCCTAAACATAGACCTACAGCCACTTAATGCAGCGCAGCAGCGCAGAGCAAATACCAGAAACGAGATACTCGTTCCGAGATACAGAACGATGCCAAAACTCCAACCGGCAACAACAAATTCACCCAACTTCTTTCAAAAATGCAAAAATTAAATATTTCCACCAGGATGCGTATAGGTTTGGCACCTGACCGCAATCCGAGTTGGCTAATAAAAAAAAGAAGTTATCTTAGCTTACTTCCATTCGGTATGCGAGAAAAAGTGTTTTTCACTAGAATTTCGAGAGGAACACATTTAAAACATTTGAAAACAGGTTTACCCAAAGCGAATTAAAATCAAAATATTGCGCATAGCACAATAATATACGCTTTAAAACGATAAACTCGAGCTTAACCGACTAACCAAAATCAGAGTTCAGAGTAGCAACTAGACATGACCTAAATATCCTTGATTCGGTATTTGGAGTGGGACTCTAAAAGTGGCATAATTATATCGCGACAACCCTTACAGCGTCAAAGTGCTTTATATGAGAAAACGTTTGATCAACTTCTAATCATGCTAACAAAACAAAATACAATTAGGCAAAAACTAAAATTCTAAAAACGTCAAATTAAAACAGAGAAGTATCATAAAATATGGTCGGTGATAATTTAGCTGATGCTTTAAAATAAATTATAGCCGGGGGATTGACTCAGCCGTGACAGGGCGTGATTTCAACTGGAAGTGTGCCGGGCGGCAGGGGGATTGCGCGCTGCGCTTAAGTGTTGAATTTGGATGTCAGTTTGGAGGACGCAATGTCTGGCAGGGCATTTGCTTTATTTTGCTCCAGTGTGTGTGTGCGTGTGTGTTGATGTGGGTGTTGGTACTGTGCGACAGTGCAATGGCAATTGCATAATAAGTGAGCTACTTCAAAGGGTGCCAGCAGCGGGAGCAACTGCAATGCCTCTTTAATTTATAGCCTTATTGAAAATTCCAAACGATTCTCAAATGTGTTCAGCAACAGAGCGATGTGGGGCAGTAGTTAGTGGGCGGAGTGGAGCGGGGCAGGTAGGTAACGCAGCGACGTCATTGTGGCAGCAAGAGCAATAATAAATTTTATAAAAGTCATTAATCTTTTTTGCAGCTAAGAGGGTCCACAAGCTGCACAAGCTGGACAAGCTGGACAAGATCTGCCACAGAGGGCTCAGAGGGGTCAGTGTCTCGTGCTGCTTGGTTAGCTGCCACTTCTGCTGCCGCTTGATTTCTTAGTTGCCAATAAAACAACGTAATAAGATGTCTTGGTGCTGTGTCCCGCCCCAGTCCCACAAGCATTCATGCTGTTAATCTTTGCCAGTGCGATTTGATATATGCATATGTGTGGCTGTGTGTGTCCGTATGTGTGTGTGTTTGGATCTACATTTTTGCGTTCGCACTCGGAACTTTTTAATATGGCTTGTTAGTCGAGGATTTCAAGCATGTTTCACAACGACTGTGCGACTGCAGCATCAGGATGCAGCAGGCAGTAATGCAGCAAGTTATCCTAACTACGGTGTGTGTGTGTGTGGAACGAGGGTGTAGAAGAGCTGAACGCGGACATCCCGTCAACATGTTTTGCCGGTTCTACAAAGTGCAGACGATCCATCAACGTTGAAAGCTGAAGGGAAAGTTTCGCTTCTATTAAAGTTGCAGCAGTTTTGTAGCTGGGGTCATTAGAGCGGCAACACTTTCAAGTGAATGCGTGTTGCTTCTGCTCGGATTGATAAATCGTTCATCCATCAGCATTCTATAAAGGCGTATGGCTCCATACATATGTACACACATTTACGGAAGTCAATCGGAATATCACAAGCAATTGTGCTCAAACCGATTGTCTTTGCTTTAGTAATCGATTAGCTGAACATGAACACTTACTATTGAACGCATCGACATTTATCATTTGCTTCGCCCATATTACTGAACGAATTGATATCTTGACTTTTTATGGGACCAATAGGATCTATATTAGATGGGACCTATATCACATGGGATCTATGTTATAAACGAACTATAGCATATGGGACCAACATCATCTTTTTCTAAGCACGACAAGGTGAGAGAGTTACTTGAATTCATGGGGATCGCATTATAGGGTTATATGCAAACTAGATATTTTTTAGTTTGTAGCTAGGTAAATGGCGTTTGGTCCAAATGATTCAAACAGGATCGATACAGAACTACTAACTACGTATAAACCTAGCGACCAGGTGAATCGATAAGCAACCCCAAATTGCTTGATCCATCAAAAATAATTGTCACCTTGAAGTGTCACAGAGATCGTTCACTGTGTAGGCTACCTTTTTCACACCCTGCTGCCATTGACAACTTATTTATAACTTGATATGTTTTAATATCAGGCCAGTCATCAATTACATCAATTAGTCATTTGAAAATTAAATATCAAAATGATGTCAATGGGCGTTCGCATATTTCACAGTCATTTGAGTATGCTGTTATGATATGATAATGGATAATTGCGTATAGGTAGAATAAACATTAATTAATTCTACTAGTCATTTAGAGAGAAATATAGAGACAGACAAAAGAACACAGACAGATACACACACACACACACACTCCGTCGCCATTTTGCTATTATTTAATTGCAAATTTTTAGCTATAAAACCGCAAAAGTGTTATGCAATTAGGCTGATAAATACCCCGAACAAATATATACAAGTCCTGTCTGCGGCGCCCAACCCACGGCAATACCCCTGCCGAGCTCCCTTGGGCCACACGTAATTAAAGGGCATATTAATTATTTACAAAATTGATTCCATTGAATTCCCAAAAATACTCGCACTCAAAAATGTATCCCAACAGAAAGTGCGTCATGCTGGCAGCTCTCATGCACCCTCTCCCCCCACACACAAACACCCTCTCCCGACCCTTGTCCAATTAACAGTTCATTAGCTTGATTTAACGTGGGCAGCTCAGAGTCAGACCGACGAACAACTGAATGCCATAATTGCCAACACAAACCTAAATAATAGTCGTCTGCTTAGCCAGGGGCTGGGATTGGGGATTTGGCAACCGCAGCTGTAAAAATTCCGGAAATCCATTGTCGATTAAATGATTAATTGCTATGAAAATGCTTTATTTAAATACATTGTTGAACATTTTTGAGAGTTAAATATAGTGGAGCCAATCAAATCGGATCGCTATAACCTTAAGCTTTTATAGCCCACATTAAATCATTGTGTTGAAAACTTTTTCCTTTTTGTATATCTTGACCGCATTCACGAATTACAAAAAATTATCCTCTTAAGATAAGTCTGCACAGGAACAAACAGACGACTATTTAGCTTGGCCAGATTATTTACAGAAAGTCAAAAACCTTCGACACTCTTAAGACGGTCTGCTCTGTATTGGTTTTATACCTTTGTACAGGGTATTATAATTTGGTCATGTTGTATGTAACATTAGGAAGGAACCAACCAACCCTGTCCGTCTATCTAATTCTGTACAAACTAAGTCCTCACATTCACACATATTAGGCTCATTTTAGGTACAGCGGACGACTATATCGTAGAGCATTATAGGAATAACAGGTTTATAAATAATTTATTTTTTTTGTTTTGTGAAAAATATTGCAACCATCAATCAAATGACTTAAGGGTATTTATTGTTCGTCGTGCCACAGATTGACGTTTTCCAACTTTTTTATCTCGCAGCCTTGATTTATAATTATATATTAATTAATATATATAAATATAAATAAATATTAATAATTATATATATTAATAAAAACAAATTAATCATTAAAAATGTAAAAAATATTGAATGCACATTTAGTTATTCTACTTAACTAACTTATTCGAGGTATATTTTGCATGAGTACTTTGAAATGTACAGCGGATGCCAGTCAAATTGTAGGGAGAAGTGGGGACACGACATACATTTTCGGTCCTTTACTAATTGAAGAGCCGCAAATCAGTAAAGTCCTATTGAAGGTCACCGTAAGGCAAACATTTTCTGGAAAATGCCTGTGGCACACACAATTTCTTTCGTTAAGAGAAAAAGAAAAACAACAACAATGGACAGGCAGAAATTTAAGCAAAGGACTGTCTGTGTGTCTGACTGCGGCGGAGTGTGGAGTCTTTTTAGTGCCGAAAGTTGTTTGAAGTTTTTGATGAGCGAAATATTTGTACAATCGATTTTCATTGAATAAGAAGATACAACTTGAAGCAAGAAATGTTGCGACAATTATGTGTAGGGGCAGGGGGCAAAGGCTTTGCGGCAGAACCATTGTGTATTTGGCAAAAGATACACAATTGTGGGATTGAGAGAGGGAGAGAGAAAGAGAGAGAGACATAGAGATGGATAGATAAAGCAGTCAAGAGGCAATTTCAGAGCATTTTCAACTTAATCAAAAATGCATGGCATTCAATTTGAGTTAATGCGAGACTTAAGCCCCAATGGCCAGCAAATTAAACGCCGTCATTCACTTGAAGTGCATTTCAATTGCGGACAGAGAGATAGACTGGACCAGGCAGGTGAAAGTGCAGCAACAGACACAGCCGCATATTCAGAAGCCCAACCAATGCAACCAGTTGACATGCTACAGCAGCTTAGACCCAGAGCTGACCTCTTGCAACCGTCATCCCCCTTATGGAACTCTAGCCGCGCTTTTATGTCTCAACCGCTGGCCATGACCACGCCTGGCCGCCTATTCGTTGCGCCATTGTGAACATGCTGAGGACTATATTAAATTGTATGGCGCTTTGGTTGAGCGCCCCGCAACTGAAACTGAAGCTCCGGGATTGACTACTGAATGCGGCTGCGGCCGGATGAAATTCGTTTTACAAATCGCCGACAACAAAAGCAGCCGCGGCTGAAAAACCAACTTATGCAGGTTCCTGGATCAGTGCTCTAATCTCTTGGCATATCCATAAGCTGTTCAATGTTTTATATATTTTTCTTTGAACCTAGCAGCCACTGTATGAGTGCCTTTGATTATGTGACATTTGTTATGAACTGACATAGTGGAAAGTCATTATATCAATATATATTAAACTAAAAGATTGCTAACCCCTGTCCAGTACTAACTTACCTTAATACATATTCCCAAACATTCAAATCCACACGAACATATAGTTGTTGGTCTTCTGTCAGTAGAAGGGAGTTGCTAAAAAAAAAAAAAATATAGAATTAATTAGATAGTGTAAGAATATGAAATAGATTATATTCACTTCTTCAAAGTATGAAAAGCTGCGAGACTTACTCGAATTCATTAGAATCACGTAGAGGGGCAATATGCAGTAGGGTAAGTTAGCAGAAAAGTGAAGTAAACTTATATTTACAAAATACATTTGCGCCTGCCAAGTCCGAGTAATACCAGCTTGTTTTATCATTAAGCTTTGAAATATAAATCAATATTGTGACCTACACCACGCTCACCTCTGGCTATTCTCTTTACATTATAATTAACAATTAATTTACAAATATTTGTATGGAATTATTCATATTTGTTGTATTAAATTGATTTAATGCCTGACTTCAGAATGACCTGACTTAGAATACAAATCAAAAACAATTCACAGTCTGAAAATATTTAAGTTAAAAATGTTTAAAAGTGTGAACATGGCTGCGCCATCTGATACGACTTTTATAAATTTTTACATGTGCCCATATAAAAAATTGGTCGAGGGGAATGACGAGGAATGGATATATTGGCCCCGCCGTCTGGTATCTCGTTTCTTGTGTCTGATGTTTGCTGTTGCTTTATTGCATTTAAATATGTTTTATATTTTATACTTTTGTTGCTCCTATTGGCAATTCGGGCGCTTTTTGCGGGCGCGTCTCAGCATAATGAAGAAATTTCCCGCCGCTTTTTATGTGAGCAACAAAATTTTCATTTTTTTTTTTCTGCGTTCTCTTTTTTCTTGTCACTTTTTTTTTGTTTTTTTTTTTACGACTGCCAAATGGTTTGTTTATAATAATTTCACGTTTGAGCCGCTGTCACTGAGGCCCGCCAATTACTTAGTTATGTAAAGTAACTCATTTTCGGGCGGAGCACTTGATGATGGGCTTGGCAGAGCTGCTGAATTATTCACTGCGGCGCGTGAAAATATATTTTACATACGCTTTTCATCTCGCTGGCTCTGTGTGTCTGCTTGTGTGTGTGTGTGTTCGTGTATGTGTGTAAGTGGGTAGAAGTGTGCTTAAGTGCTGAGTGCACATTGCTTTAACTTACACCAAAGTCATGCGATATTTATGTACAGTTGTGCGTCCTTTACGACTATAGTTGGCGTCTTG